CCTTAACTCCCTATGTTTCTCCAAATTTCGACTTGTGTTTCTCGAAATTTCGAGTTATGGATACTTGTTTTTGTTTTGTTTTTTTAGTGGCGTAAACTGGCTTCCATAAACAAGTATAACAAATATGGCAATATTGTCAAAGACTTTTTCCAACTTCAGATAATACCACGACAGGCTTTCTTACAAAATATAAAAGACAGATAATGAAAATAAAATAAAAATAAGCAACTAAAGAAATAAATAAAATTAACAAAAAATTAAATTAAAAGTCATAAAATAAAATTATAACCTTGGGGTTTTCTAAAATCTTTAGTTCATTAACCATATGATGCAGATCCACTGTTTGTTTTTTGTCCATAAACTTTACAGATGAGAGAAAGAGGCAGAGTTCTTTGTGAAAGGTGAAAAAGGACGGCTTTATATTCAGAAATCGACATTTATGAATGAAGAATTTACCCATAATAATTATCACATACAATGGGTACGGACAGACCCCCTTCATTTTTACACTCTTTGTTATATAGCAGCCATTTGCTAAAATTATTTAAGTTCATTTTTTTCCTCATTAATGTACACACAGCACTCCATATTGACAGAAAAAACACAGAATTGTTGACATTTTTGCAGATTTATTAAAAAAGAAAAACTGAAATATCACATGGTCCTAAATATTCAGACCCTTCGCTCAGTATTTAGTAGAAGTGCTTAGAGTCATTGTTGGAAGGTAAACCTTCACCCAGTCTGAGGACCCGAGTACTCGGGAGAAGGTTTTCGTTCAGGATATCCCTGTACTTGGCCACATTCATCTTTCCCTTGATTGCAACCAGTCGTCCTGTCCTTGCAGCTGAAAAACACCCCCACAGCATGGTGCTGCCACCACCATACTTCACTGTTGGGACTGTACTGGACAGGTCATGAGCAGTGCCTGGTTTTCTTCACACATACCACTTAGAATTAAGGTCAAAAAGTTCTATCTTGGTCTCATCAGACCAGAGAATCTTATTTCTCACCATTTTGGAGTCCTTTAGGTGTTTTTTTTGTTTTGTTTTGGGGTTTTTTGCAAACTCCATGTGGGCTTTCATGTGTCTTGCACTGACGAGAGGCTTCGGTCGGGCCACTCTGCCATACAGCCCTGACTGGTGGAGGGTGGTGATGGTTGTGATGTAACACTGGGTGTAGAACATTGATAAATCATCTTATGTATGCAGATGACCTGGTTGTTTTTAGTCCAAGCAGTGCTGGGTTACAGGAACTTCTTAATATCTGTACAGAGTATGGTGTGCAATATGATATAAAGTACAATGCTGTTAAAAGTGGTGTTTTGATATGTAGAACCAAGCAGGACAAACAGCTAAATTTGCCTGTTTATACTGTCCCAAAAACTCTTGAAGTTCATAAAAAGGTGAAATACCTCAGTCGCTTTATTACTGATCAAATAAATGATGATGATGACATATACAGACGACAGTGTAAGCTCTATGTGGAGGCAAATACTATTGCACCTAAATTCAGCTCTTGTGCACTTCCAGTTAAAGTGGTTTTGTTTAAAGCAGTGGTTCTCAAACTGGTGGTACTTTTAAAGATTAAATAATATACCATTGTGGAGGTATGCAAAGACGACACAGGAGTTCCCAAGGCTCTTCTGGGAGCCGGAGTTGACCAGAAAACGTCTCCCCGAGCGTGAGTCCTCTATGAAGAGCAGCCTTTCCTTATCGCGGCCGCTAGAGAGCGCTGGCGGGCTCCTTTCCCTGGGCAAAGGCGGCACGGCGCTGTCACGCTGATGATAAAAACACAGCCCTTTTCCACTGTGCTGCCGTGCTGCGCAATGAGAATCCTTTGTACGATACCTAGAGCGGGTAGTG